CAGAAACAAGTTTTCCTCAAGCTTTGTGAGGTTTCTGAGACCATGTTACTGCTCTGCAGAGAATAGCTTCAGCGTGAGGTCACCCTTCTATTAGACATCAGAGAACCCACACTGGCACTTCCCTAGAGGCTGAAGTCCACAGGAATTCAGGTTCTGCTTGTTAAAAGTTAGCATGCCTTGAGAGTGAGTAAGTCTCCTCTTGATCTGCATGAAGACCGGTAATCACAGATGCTGGGTTGTTTTGGTTTGGTTTTTTTTTTGCTTTCCTCATCTTGCGGTCACTAATCATATGTAACAACCAGACACACTCAGTTTGCCCATGGAGTAGGTTTTTTTTAATGTTTAACAATATTTAGCTTTGACCTGCTTTACCCTGGAGATGCGTGGTGTATTTGTCTTCAGGTACTCGCAGCACTGTTTGGTAGTTTTCTTCTTTTGAGTGCCCGGAGCAGTCAGCACGTGCTCTGTACACTTTTTATGAATATTGCAGCATTACAATATTGGTGGTTTCATCTGAAAGGTGTGTGCATGCTAAGCGTGGTCGGACTGAATTCTTCTGTACGTTACCAGGATGGAAAACTGAGCATAACATGTAGGACAGCAAAATATGTGTTAGAATAGTGGTGTTTTTTCACAGTACATAGTCATTTGATGGCACGTAAATATTATAATTTTTAATATCTGAAGTTACAGGTGACGCTGTATTATGAAAATTTAGGATTAAGATCACACTAACAAATCCTGTGTTCCCTTTCTTTTGTCTTTATCAAATTTTAAATTCTTTGGGCTGAAATTTTCCAAGTCAGAGATCTCCCTGATGAGGAAGACGATACGCGCCATATCAGTCACTCCTGATAACAGGGCCAGGAAAAATTACAATCGCATTAGTGCGGAAAGGTGACTTTGGATTGGGATGTACCTTTGGCTGTTCCCCTGGCAGGCTGCTCAGTTTGGCCATGTTAGAAGCCTTTGAAAAATAGCAGGAGTTAGTATTTGTGCATTAAGGACTCGTGGCGTTTAATATGTCCCAAAAGATAACTCCCATGCTGAGCAGGGAGAGCCTCCCATGAGGCAGGACTTTCCCTGCAGGCATGTCTCCTGGAAGGACAGAGCTTGTTGGAGGCCAAGTTGAAGGACATAGGGCAGAAGCGGTTGTAGTTGTTAGGTGGGTGGGGAGAAATGGGCAGAAGAATCTCTGCTGGCTAAACCATGTCCTCCTCCAGACCCCAGCAGGAAAACCCTTGTTTTTGTCTTTCAGCAGCCCTTTGCGGAGGGCAGGTGTCTGTCAAGGCCACTGCCAGGGGGGTCCTGTTCCTGTCTGGCTCTGGGACGTGCCAGGGTTGAGCACCCGGTGTCTCTGTGCAAGTGGCAGGTGTCTGGTGGGGGGCTGATGGCAGTGGAAGACTTAAACCTTTCAGCTCTTCTGATGACCTCTGCTGGCATCAGCATGGGGGAATTCCTTTTTTCTTAGTCCGCTTTTGAAGAAGATCCAAGTCTTAGGATTTCGTACAAAACCTTATGAAACTTTCCCGCTCCCTATGATGCGTTAAGTTCAGCTCTCAAAAGTGAAGACAGTAAAAACCCAGATGCATGCTGTGCTGGAGTGTGGGGGTTTTTTCTGGTGTTAGAAAACCAGAAGGCTAAACTTTCTGAAATTCATTTTTTTCTCAATAATTTTACAGTTATATTGGGAGTTGTAACATACATTTTTTGAACTGAGGTTTCCAGTTTTGTCTACCAGTAAGGTAAAGGAGTGGCTGTAGAAATCGGAGAATGGAGCTAAGGAAGTTGAATGCAGAGTGGGTGAACTGATTTTAACAAGACAAACCAGAGTGTTTTGGATCAGTCTTCAAAATTATTGCCTAGGAATGGTTCTCCTAATTTAGCAACTGTCTGTTGACACCCTGCTTGGACTTACCATTGGTGTTTGGAAATTGTTTAAGGATAAGCTGTTTGGACCCCTAAATGTAAACAGCTCAATAGTCCGTGGAGTTAAATTATACGTTACTTGAAAACTTTTAAATTAGTTTATATTTTCAGGGACCCCCTCACACCAGAAGGAGCTGTTTACTTTAAAATATAACACACTTTCCCCCCACTCTTTTTATGAAAGAAAGGAGAACAAAGAAACATTGAGGGTGGTTTTAACATATTGTACCAAAAAAAAATAAAAATAACATCATTAAAACCATTGCAAGCTGGCTGGAGGCCAGCTTTGATCACGAGGAATCCCAAAGTGCTGTGTAAACTTGAACTGTTATATGAACTGTACCTGAGGTCCACTTCGGCGTCCACCGGCACAGAGAGGTCTGCAATGGCTCTTAGCAACAACGCTTTGGAGCAGCTCGAGCAGAAAGCTGAAACTTTCTCTAGTTTTTTTTCCCCCTCCTTCTCCAGGAGACTTCTGCCTAGATGGAGCCTAGTTCTCTCACCTACATTTTTCTGTGTAAATTTTTCTTTCTTGGATCTGTACTCATCATCGTAATTGCTATTGTTACGCCCGCTGTAATGGAAAAAAGATTAATCTTGAGGACTGTCAGCGCGGCACTTTGAGGCTGGTTTTGAATGATGCAGGCTATTTCTCATGGTGCACTTTGCCAGTGCAGCTGAGCTGCTGCAACCGCTTGCTGCTGCTGCAAGGTGTGGTCCTGCTTCCCTGGCACGTCTCATCCTCCTCGTGCGTGCCAGTGCTGGCACTTGAGAGCTAACTGGGCAAAAAGCTCACCCTACCAAAATGTGAAGGTTTTTTCTGTGTGTTTAGCTCCCTGCTCCAGCTCACTGTGGGATCAGATGAATGAGTGCAAGCGCAGATGGAAAGGGAAGAAAAAAATGCCTGAAAGAGGGCTGGACAGCTGGACCAGCCTCTTGGCTTCAGCTATTAGATGGGCATGGTGTTGTCAAGTTGATGTTATTCCCTGCCATGCTGGATTTCTTTCTGGGGTTTAATCTTTTCCTCACCCTACTGCTGGTCTGAAGGTGTTTCAAACCACTTTTCCTCATAGGAGTTATTTTGCATCCCTTTCTGATGTTGCTTTGCTTGCTCTAAGTTTGTTACTTTTTTCTCTTTGAACTGTTGATGTGAAGTAGAAAAACAGAGGAAGGAAGTTAAATTGGAAAGAAAGAACAAATTTCCATATTCTTTGTCCTGTTTTGTTAATATTCATGCAATATTTTTAGTCAAGGAGGTTAAGTTTTGTCTTTTTGGTTTAGGTGAAGACTCAGGAATGTATAAGGAAATTGTATTTTGATCTGTTCTTCAGAATCAGATCTCAGCACAGAATCAAAGGCTGCCGTGCTCTTAGAAGTGTTTTATTTCAAATGGAAAATAAAATAAAGCTGCAGCCCTTACAAAAGTTCAGATGCATTCCTGAAAATCTTTCAGGGGTTGTATGGGTGTGCTGCTTCAACTCTTGCTATGAGTATGATTTAAAATGACCTCCTAAATCTGTTAATAGTGTTGCAAAAGACTCATTTTGCTTGGCACTGGGTGGAAACCACGCAAACCCACTGAGTTCTGCAGGAATTCCTCCAGGAGCCAAAACTGCTCAGATACAGTAAAGGGTGCATAAATCTGAAATTGTGGTTTGTGCCGCACCTCCACTTTTTTTTTTCATTAGGTAAGTCAACTTAATGTGACTCCTCAGAAGAGAAGCTATTCACCTGCATAGTTACTATTTCGTTAAATAGAACAGTCCTTCCAGAACTCAAGATACTGTCAGTGTGAGCATAGACAGTGTCAGAGGCAGAGCTGAAAGGATCAGAGGTCCTGCTGGGAGAGAGCCCTGGGATGTGCTTACCCTGCTATTACATTCAGATGCATATGACCCTTTCTACTCTCGAATTGAAATATTAAAAAAGTAAATACAGAGCTTTTTTTAATATATAGATAGAAAGATATGGCTATTTCTGTTCCAAAATAATTCCAAATATATTATTCTGAAATAACACGATTATATACTGCGTAGAGTTAAAATTAAGTAAATTGTGCTATTAAATGGCTGACTTCTTTCAGAGGAGCTTGTGCTAAGTGAAGAAATCTTGTTTCTTGTGTATGTTTTGGTGTAACTGCCTTGACAGATTTCAGAATGACAGGCTCCACATCAGCATAATAACATGCAAGTAAGGGTACAAATTTATCATCGCTGCTAATTGCAAGTCTGCTGTTTTTATGCTGCCATCTAGGCCTCAGCCCCAGTTGGAGACCTGTTCTATGTGGCATTGTAGAGGAGCGTGATAAAGGATATTCTGCTTCTTAAAAGCTTGTCATGTACATCAAAAAGCGAAAAGCAAGCTCACATAGAAAAGAACGGGCTTCTTTCACCTGTTCAGCACCAGGGCTGTGATTAGAACTGACCTCCCTTAGGAACGTGTTGGAATAGGGATTGATTTGGCCAATTTTGGGCCGTAATGCTATGCTGTCTTGTGAGTGGAGGGAGCTTCTTTGTTTTACAGGGAGATGTTTCACCTACATTGCCATGCAGCAAGGCTGAGCTATCGTGATAAGAATACTGTCTACAAGTAATTAATTGGGTAGAAAGTATTTTCTAAATAATAGGAAGATTTTAACTCTATGCATATATGAAAAGATCACAATTTTAATGTCCATATTAAAAATATTTTGATTGAACGTATCTGTCTCAGTTTCCTTGGCCAATGTTTGTTTTTATAAGCTGCATTTTTCCTCATATTTGAAAGAGTTGTTCATATTCCTTCCTGTGTGTAAAGAAAAAGCACACAGAACAAGGAAGGATTTTTGGATGTGCTGAGGTTGCAGTGCAACTAGCCATATTGAGAGCTTTGTTGAATACTTTGGGTAAACAACAGGGGGTAGTAGTATTTTTTTATTTAATTTGTTATAGTTAACTTAGTATTTTATTATTGCATTTATTGACTGTGAATCTGTTAGCATTCTGCTTGGTTATATAATTTATTAATTTGATTTTTATTTTTTTTAAACCTCATCTAGATTATTCTGAGTAATTCCAAAAATACCCTTCAACATGCCTGAAAATCCTGCTGCAGGTATGTAGTCTGAAAGTGATTACTTTTGTTAAGCAGTGAGAAATGAAGCTCCGTTCCTAACATGTACTATTTTGTGGTGCAGATAAACAGCAGGTGCTGCAGATCCTTGATCGTCTGCAAGCAAAACTGCGTGAGAAAAGGGATTCCCAACATAATGAAAACTTGACTGCTTTGCGTAACACACTCAGGAGCCCTTTGTTTAACCAGATCCTGACCCTCCAGCAATCCATCAAGCAACTGAAGGAACAAGTGAGTGTAAAGTTACGGTTGTTGGTGTGATGATAATTACAGTGAACTTGTAACTCAAAGCAGGGTCCGTAGGCACGTGTTAATGAGGGCGCTCTCATTAATAAGCTGTAGCTTGGTATGAGTGGATATTGTCCCTTTTTTTTTTTTTTTGGTCAAGCTAGTATCTACACGGTCACTACTGAAATGAGAAGTGGTATTGCAACAAACAGGTCACGGGGCAGCGTGCTTTGAAAGGGATGCGGAAGGGGCAGGCATTGAGAACCACATCAATTGGAAAAAAGCATCTGCAAAAGACATCAGCTCTAGTACTTTGAGTTCTGAACACAGCTGGAGCTGGGATCCTTTGTTTTTCACAGAAGCTAAATACTGTTTATCAGCTAACTGGCAGCATCTTTTCTCCTTAAAAGACATCATCACTTAGTTCCTGATGACTTTTACAAGAATAGTTAACCTGTTTTGGGAAACAGAATCTAGAAACCCACCCCTGAAGATTTGCCAAGCTCTGATGCAGACATACCCAAACTAGCTTTAAAATGACTTGGCTCCAGCAGTGGAAGGAACTTGCATGGATTGGTTTATAACACCGACACTGAGATCTTGTGGACGTAGGCATCAGTGACACATCTGCAGGAACAGGTCTCACCGTGCAGTTAGCAGAGTCAGACATGCAAACTTAAAACCAGGAACTAACTTGGCATATCCCAAGCAGCAGCGATCCCTGTCTTTGCCGTTACTGCACCTGCCCATCTGCAGATACAGAGGGTGGGTGTCGGGGGGATGAGGCCACCTTACTGTCATTGCCAAATGTATTACACGTGTTCCTGCCTGGCTGGCATGGTAGTGATTATGTCGTTCATTTTCCCTTCTTCCCATGTTCACAAAGGTGCTTATCTGCTCCTGTTCCTCCCTTCCAAAGCTTGGATGCATGTCTGCAACTGTTAAAAATGTATGAAAATGCAAGTATATCTAAGATCATGCTTTGTGACTGCAGCATAATGGATTTTATATGCAGAATGGTCAGAATTCAGGTCTAAAAAATTTTGGTTTTCTTGAAATTCTTCTTAAGCATGTTCCTCATGAGCAGTTTGATTCAGGATGAGGTTTTTCAGTTTACTATGTTGTGCTGGGAATATTTCTGCATTTCTTCATTATCTGTCAGGCCTAGAAATTGAACTGTAAGTTCTAGCAGTGGTGGCATGTTCAGTGGTAGTGAATTTGTACCCTAGGCACTCTCTGGGGAGGAGATAATACAGACCAGGCCTTTGGCTCCTAAGTGGCTAAGTGACTCTTAAAAATTTGGATTCTTGTGCCAAAATTGTCTAGGTTTGCCTGACAGTTGCAACAGTGCTTGAGTGCCTCTTTAATGTTTGGTGCTTTTGCATGTGCTGTTTCTGGAATATCAGGGTGAAAAAGAGAATAATGGGCACGGGCAGGGAAGAAGCGTGAAAGAAATGGAGAAAATGAATGGAGTAGAAATACAGCTAAAACATTCAGGGAACTTTTTCTTCTGAAAAACAATTTCAACTTGATATGGTAGCTTGGTTATAGCTTATATATTAACATTGCCTAATTTAAACAGGCGAGTATATCCGTGTGAATAGGCATATATGAACGTATGTATGCTTGCTTCTTTGGCAGTCTTCACACAAGATGATATATGTGGAAATCTCTCTTGTTTTAATTGTTTTTCTACGTTTTTGTTCAACAGCTCAATTACATGCCTCCTGACCGTTCAGTAGATTTTGACTTTACTAAGAGAGGGCTGCTAGTGTTTGCTGACAAATCAGTTGCTGCTGGGAGCGTGTATACACCTTGCAGTTCACCTGAACCCAAAGCACCTACCTTCACTCCAAACCTGGGAGTTACTGAATTTAACGCAATCATCCAACAGATGGCAAAGGTAAAGCTCACAGGTTTAGTGAACCACACTTATTTTCCTTTAATGTCAAACTTTTTCTGGCATGCTTTTGGAGTACATTTTCAAATGTACTCTTTTGTTGTGTATCTGGGAGTGTGGTGCCTCCTAGCCAGCAAGAGAGTAGAAGTGCCGAGGATAACTTTTCCCCGTGAAAGATAATGTCAGCAATGGAAAGTGGTTGGGGGGGTGGGGGGGGTGTTTGGTTTTGGTTGTTTGTTTTCCCATTTTTTTGTCTTACTTTCTACTAAACACAGCAATGTAGAAAAGAAATTTCAGTTGCCAGAAAACTTTTTTGGTATTTGATGACACTTAATCGAAAATGGACGTTTTCTGCAGAAACATGTTTTGATGGAGAGACTTTTTTTAGCAAGTACATTTAAAATTGGAGATGTACCAACTTTGTTAATATATGAACAGTGCAAATGATTAAAAGAACTGGCATGTAGTATTTTATTTAACTCTTCATTTAGTATATCTTAACTTTGCCAGACAGATGCTGATTTCATTAACATGTGATGTAGCATGTACCAGATGCTTATGCAAGTTGTACAGGTGCAGACATCCACCCATGTGGGATTGGCATTTATACCACAAATGTATTGTTCTGTGTTACTTTGAACCATTAATTTAATTGGTTAGTCATGCCTTTCTGTATTAAGTAACTGTTGCTAATTGACTACCTTAATGTAGCTGTAATATTTTGAGCATAACTCTTCTCATTAGTGTGTCATTAACTCATCAGATAAAAGATTTAGCAGTAAAGAGTGCACATTATTTTGAATAAAACAGCTGTGATAGCAGTGTATTCTCTAAGTAATATTCCCAGTAAACAACCCCAGAAATTTTGTATTAGAACTGAAAAGCAGGCAGTCACAAAAGCAAAGTTTTTTAGCATTAAGTGTGAAGTTGCAGGGAGGGGAAGGAAATTAATTTCTTTATTTAAAAGCTTGCAATCTTTTGAACATGCACCTAAAAATCAGCATTAAAAGCAAGGGGAGCCAAAAGACAAGTAATTTAGTTTAGCTATGCAGCATTTCCAGAAATCCCAAATATATTGCTCTAGACAGCACTTCGTTCATAGTTTTCATCCAGTTTGGAATTCATCTCATAATGTGAATGAAGTGTGAAAGCAGCTCTTAAATTCCCTGAGGTTTCAGAACCTTGGAGTGCTTGCATATCCAATACTCTGCTATATTAAAAATAATAAATGGAGGAGCTTTTATAGAAATAACATATTCAGTATTTTGCCTTTGTTTAGTCTTAGGAGGAGAATAATTCTCCTGGTGTTTATAAATTTTTAAACTAGCTCATTCTATTGCATTAAAAATTAGTAAATCAATTTTTTCTATGTTATTAGGGGAGACAAATAGAATCAATAAAGATTGAAAAGCCTTCTGTTGGAGGTCTTGGATTTAGTGTGGTTGCCCTTAAAAATCACAGCTTGGGAGAAGTTGGTATCTTTGTCAAGGAAGTCCAGCCAGGAAGCATAGCTGACAGGTGAGATCTTTATAATTGTATTGGAAAATTGCAGTATTTCCATGAAGGGAAAGATCATGACTTTCACATTGAAAACTCTATCAGACTAACATGTTTGTCTAGGTTATCTGGTGGGATGTTTTGGTGGTGGTATCTTGAATTCTGGCTTTTCAATTAAATGGACTCATGTTTTGAGGATCAGATTTTTAGATGAGTTTTAAATATCTGAGCCATTCATAAATGGAATTTCCAGAAATCGTGACTCACTGAAGAGAATCTTGAGTACTGATTAAAAAACAAAAGAAAACTCAGAAAAGAGTACAAGGAAAATAAAAATTAGCCTCTGTTTGAATTTTTATGCATTGTGTCCCTGAAAGATTTTTTTTTTCCCCCTTGTTTCTTTATTTATGTGCCTATGACAATGCCCTATTTATAGTGGGTTTTTACTGTTTGTTTTCTGTGTAAATTTAGATCCAGTCCTCCTGACAGATCCCTGCACAGATGTCATCATAGAACCAAGGCTTCAGGCAGTTTCTTCCCGTATTGTCTGTGGGTTTTCACCCAACAACAAAAGACAGAGCAATCCTTTAAAAATAAAATGTGATTGTAAAACCACAAGAGTTGGCATGAGACAAATGCAGTGCTTGGAATTATGTTCAAGAAAATGTGTCTAGATTTCAAGTCATTGGTGTCACTTTTTAAATAACACATGTCAGGAAGTGCCAACACAGGATGACAAAAAGAGTGGAGAGAGGTTGGAATGATAATGGCTATGGGCCCACAGAGAACACACCAGAGAACACTTAAAGAAAAGCATATTAGGCTCTTTCAAAGTGGAGACAGATGGACTGATCCGGATGTCAAAGGAGGGTGAATATCTCACTTTAGGATTTGATGACCTGCTGCTCACTTTCTTTGATGAGAGAATCTAAAATATGGTTAGTGCTTGAAGAAAGTGATTTCTGGGAAACATCTTAAACATCGCATGATAAAAAGGAAGTTTAAAATGCGTTAGTTAAGATGTGCAGTTACATTGTTTCGGAGTTTATAAATTTTCCCCAGCATGCTTCCCGTTTTGCTTCTGAGACAAGATCTCCTGGAGACTTTTTGGATTCCTATAGAGCTTTGAAGGCAGTGTCTGTCTGTGTAACAGTTTGGTCTCGTGCTCAGAATGAATATTGAACAAAGGAGATGAGTGATGGTTTCTCTCTTGTCATAAGTCTAAATCCATCACTGGGGTGAATTAACTGTGAAATTTATATTATCTTAAGGTATAAGTTGAACTGTGTATTGCTTGAAGAAAGTTTGATGTCTGAAGTTTGGTACTGTAAATTTTGAGTAAAATATAAATATGCAGCTCATCCATCTTTAGATTAAATAATGATACAAAACAAGATCATAGCCTGAGTTGTGCGTACTTAGAAATAGTATCATGTAGTGCTAAACATAATGAAGAATAGTTCCTAGTTCATTGTGTAACTACAAAAATCATTTTTTTCTGCCCTGTAATTCAATATCATCAAGAAAGGATGAAGGAATTTCACTGAATTTTGAACAGAAGCAAAGGGAAAATATTGAGCCAATTTCTGTACCGTGATAAAATTGGAAGAAAATATGGCAGGGCAGTTCAGTACAGTGCGGATTGCACGTAGTTTGTATGTTGGTGAAGACAGTCTACTAAGCAGACTTTTTTATATATAAAAATATTTAACCTTGCATAACTCTGTATTTTGCATGTTCATATTTAAATTACACAAGCCTGTTGTGAAGTCACTATCCTGCATTTTAAAATTTCTTTTAATGTTTTGTTAAGGGATCAAAGACTAAAGGAAAATGACCACATACTGGCCATTAATTGCACCCCATTGGATCAGAACATTTCCCATCAGCACGCTATTGCCCTCCTCCAGCAATCCACAGGATCTCTACATCTGGTTGTTGCTAGGGAGCCAGTTCAAGGAAACAGCAGAACTTCGGCTGTCTTATTAAGTGATATAAATCCACCTGAGACTGTGAGTTGTTGTAATACTGTCAAAATCAGATTTTTGAACTATGCTGGATATTTTTTTGTGGTTGTAAGTGTTTGTGTTAGCAAACTTACATATAGGGATTTTCTTCTTTAATCAGATTTTATATGTGATGGCATTTCATTTAGACTGATCGTGCAGTAAGTATAAGGCTTCCATTGCAAAGCTGCATGAAGTTGTTATAAAATAGATCCTGGGTTTTTATGGGCTAGAAGCTTTAGTAGATCAACATATTCTTAGCAGCAGGGTCCGTTCAGCATAGGCTGGGTAAAGCATTTTACGAGTATACCCAGCTGAAACCTACTTGTGCTTAGCAATTAAAGATGCTCTGATTACATCTTAAAAGATTGTAAACATAACCTATCATGAGCACTGCTTGAAATATCCCAACCAGTTTAAACTTAAACTGCTCAAAACAAAAAGCCTTGTCTTTGTTTTAAAAACAAACAAAAAGTATCTGTTAAAGAACCTCTCAGTCCCTGTTTATTTATCATGTGTTTTTTTTAATCTGCAAATTTCATAGATGGTGAACCCTTTTGTTGTCTTGAACAGGGGAAGATTGTCACCGGGACATGTAACAAGCTAGGGCTGAACTTCCCTCTGTGTTCAAACTATATGGTCCAGGTGGCTTCACTGAATTGGTCAAAGTGCACACCTAAATCCAGGGTTTGCAATATTGGAATCTTAATTTATTATGGTAGTAGGTTTTGATGAAAATCTGGTTAAGAGAAGTGCTTTGCCTTGTTCTCAGTAATTATTTCCCTCATGATTATTACAGAGCTAGTGAAATCTGAAGGTTTTAGTGGATAATCAATATTGTTTATTGCACTGAAAATTTTAAAGAATTAAATTTTAACTGCTTTTTCATTGAAAGATCTGCACTGAACAGACTAACAAAATAAAATACAAATATATATCTCTACAGGGGGTCTTTAAACTTCTTTTATGATATTTAACTGGCTTTGGCAAAGATTTTCAGTATGCTAATAAATCCTTTAGTCATAGAAGACTTAAATCTGCCTACTTTGCTCCATTTTTGTTTCTATGAGATATTAATCTGACAGAAACATTGGCTGAGTTTGGGTTGCTTAACAGCTTTGTTATTTTCAGATTGTCTTGTAGAACATAAGGTCACAGTACAGCATAGCTTAGAAACATGCTTCCAATTCAGTGTGGCAGAATATTGTACTGCACTATTAATTCAGTGCATACTGGTGGTGTTTAGAGTGTGTAAGTGAAATAACAGAAATAAGAATTTGGGCAATGCTAAGTGAAAACTAGGCCAGTGCAAGCTCCTTCCCTCTGTTTTTCTCTGTTGTTTGCAGTGATCTTCATTTATGAGAACCTAAAAAGGCAGTTTTCCTTTTTGGCAAGAAAATCTTAAAATTGTTTTTTCTTAGTCAAGCTTTTTCCTAGTATCCTGTTATCCTGAAAGTGAAGGACAAAATGTATGTTTAAAAACAGATGAGAAATCCCACTGCGTATTTATAAGGAAACGAAGCTGACTGAACAAAATCCAACAGATCGGCAATATGTGGGGTAGAGGGAGAAAATTGCTTTGATTAATTCTCGTAATTCCTGGTACATGTGAAAGTGAGAAACATTAAAGATTGACTGAAATGAAAATCTCCTGTTTTTATTAATTGCAGATTCACTGGGGCCACATTGAAGACGTTGAGCTGATTAACGACGGTTCGGGATTAGGGTTTGGAATTGTAGGAGGAAAGTCGAGTGGAGTAGTTGTAAGAACAATTGTTCCTGGGGGATTAGCAGATCGGGTAATTTGTTATATTATGTCACTTCTTGTTTGATTGTAAAGAGTAATTAACTGGTTTTGACAGTCTTAAAATAAACTAATATACTTAAACAAAAGGAAGCTGATAGCATCAAAGTCTGAATGCCAACATATACTTTATAAATAAATATGCTGAAGGTATGATTGAGGCAAAAGTCAGCACCTGATATGAATTAATTTGTTTCTCAGGCGTGCTTTGGCTTTTATAACATTGTTGAACATGCAGAAATTCTAAAAAGTTGTGTAACCTTCTAAGATCTTCAATACTTTTGATATTTCCAGCCTTTGGTCAGACTGAGGTAGGACAAATACTCTTAATGGATTTGCACATCCTCTGTAGAATTTGGCAGATTTGGCAACACCTATAGGGACAAACTCTTCAAGTGAATTGTCAGGCAAGAGAAGCTGCCCTATTGAAGTAATTGCATTGCAAGATTCAGTTTATAGATTGAAGATGTCCTATTTTTAGTGGGTTTCATTTTAAAGAGGTTTTGATCCCTGCCTCACAGTCCGACCAGTTTAAGGAGACACTTAGGATTGATGCGAAGCCTTTTGAAGTTACTGATAGCTTTTCAAGTTGCACAGGTACAGTTTGCAACCTTTGATTGCTGATCTTTAAAGACCTAGTCCTAAGTGTTGCTACATTTCAGGAGTAGAACACATGCAATAGCAAAACAGATTTGGATTTTTTAATGTGAATTTGGTGATGACAAGCTATAATATTTGAGGTCTGGAACCCATGCAGACAAGATCTAGTATTAGGCAAAAGAGAGAGGCTAGTTACTTCCTTTAGTATAGGATGGAAACAAAAACTGGAGATTCGGAGAGGTTTACTGGAAAATGTTGGCTTTTGCCTGACTGCCTCCCTCTGAACCTGTCATGTATAAATGAGTATTTTTTAATTATTGTGTAACACCTGTTTTGCTGTAAGGAATAAAGTGTTTTGGCTACAAATGAAGCATGTAAGTTAAGAACTCACCACATCATTCTCTGCTGAATGAGACATCATTAAGAACATGTGAAATAATGAGCACATATACATGTTAAAATTGGATGAGTTTGTAAATGAGTTTGAGTTAGTTCTGGGAATAACTCCACTGTGATTGCTGTATAAATCAATGTACCTAAGGTGGTAGAGCTGGGCTGATCAATACCAGCTGAGAATTTGGTCCTATGAATGCTTACTTATAAAAGAAATGATGATGTAGGTCATGAATCATAATTATCATGTAAAAAATGGTTTGTGTGGAGTCTTGTTACCTTCGGTGGATTTACTCAATCGAGTTGGAGCTAGTCATATGAGGAAAGAATTGCCAGGCTAATGTAAAAGTATTAGGAAAAACTCTAAAAAGTCCTAAATCAAAATGCTGTGCTCTTTATTCTAACCCCTATTTGATGAGTATTCTATGAAACAGCAATACGTAACAACCTGTGAGATTATAAAACATTGTTGTTGTCTGTTTTCTCCTAAATGAGAAAAGGTACTACTCTTTTAAGAATGGTGCTGTTCACCTTGTTTATCTTACTCAGTTTTGGAAAGGTTGATTTACCACTGTTAACTACTGTGGAAAAAATGGTGCATGGTTGTGCAAACGCTTCCTTGAATTATTTACTATGTTGCCATAAAATTGACCACCACGGCATTTTCTTGCATTGGCTCTCATGGCCATGAAGATGCCTGTACACAGTTTCAGTTTTGTAACGGAAAAGATATTTTATGTGTAGACTGGAAACATTTTTTGCAATTTTATTTATGTTTGAAGGATGGGAGGCTTCAGACAGGAGATCACATCTTACAAATTGGGGGGACCAATGTACAAGGAATGACCAGTGAACAAGTTGCCCAAGTGCTGAGAAACTGTGGGAATTCTGTTAGGATGATCGTTGCAAGAGACCCAAAGTGTGAAATTGTGGAGACTCCACCAGCTCCTGTGAGCTGGCCAGTCACTACGTTACCTTCCTTTCAAAATGGAAATGTAAGTATCTGGTGTTTACTTATGACATTTTCAAGTATGTTTGTGGCTTGTGATCAGAAAGGAGGAGGAGAACAGAGTGTTCTTGAGACCTAAAGTGCTTCTCCTTTGAGTTTCCAGATAGCATATGCGTGTATTTAAGTGGTCATTATTATAGCCCTGCCTTCTATAATTTTTCATTTTTTCCTGTATGTTATTAATACCTGCAATCTTGGGATCGGAATGACCAGCTTTACAGAATTTATTTCAGTGGGTAATTTAATTACCAAGACTATAAACGTTATCGATAAATGGTACTTTTATTTCTCCTTCTTAGCTCATTACATTTCTGCTAATCAATCATTTGTAAGTGGATTTAAAACTTGAGTGTGAATTTCCCTAGTCTGAAATCCAGAGCGCCGTGGCCACACCAGAATTATTCAGCACAATCATCTTTTTATGAAACATAAGTGTAATGTTTTCATAGTCTATGCTACTGTCTGTGATAGGAAATATATCTAAAAATTTTGAAACTTGTTTTAGCAAATCTTATCATGGTCATATCAAAGTCTCTTGTTTTTGAAGTCATTCTTTTCAGTTTTGAGTAATTAAAATCAACAAATGCTACACTAAGTGTACAGTAGGTCTCGAAACATAAACAAAGCTGTGCTTGTGTACCATCTGGTACTACTGTGCTGCTTAGATTTAGGTGTAGAATCTGAGTAGCCTTTTCTGTCTTGTTTAGTTTCTTGAATATGAGTGAAGAGAGTTATTTTCTTTGAAGCACCATTTTTAAAGTTTGGACTAGCAGTCGTATTGTTACAAACTCACCTCTTCGCTCACCGGGCATAGTCACTGCAAAGGCAGCCATTAGCTTTGTGTCTTGCATCTCTCTGGAAGGTTACTGTGGCTGAAGCTGTCAGTAAAGTATTTTGGGTCCTTCTCAAGCTCATCGCAGAAGAGGGATTGGTGTAGTAGGAAACGTGAGTGGCAGAGACCTGGGAGGGGGTAATCTATGTACGTAAGGTTGGAGTCTTCTAAAGTGGGCTTGTCTGCAAATGCTCTGCAAAAAGACTTTCCTAGAGAATCAGCGTTGTTATGAAGCACTTCTTTTCTGGCTGTATCATATTTTCCAAGACCCGTATTAGGAAAAAATGCAATGGTCCTAGTTTTGTTTCCTCTACAAAGTAAGATTATTTTTTTTTCTCTTCCCCACCTCAAAGGTGGGCCTGTTTGTCACTAATCAACCCTGAGCATTGTAGATGCTGCAGCCTTTCTACAATGTTACTCCTTCTGGATGTCTTTCCAGTGTCGTCCTTATTCCTGCTATGTAGTTTAGAGGGGAAAACAATCATGTTGCAGTTTCTTCTATTTATTTCTGAATGTCATCTATTGTTTTCTTAACTGAATAATGCCTTCATATTTAGATTTGAAGAAACCTCTCTTTCTGATGTTGAGAGATTTGCTGAAGTCAAGAATAGTGGCTACTTTTGAATGTATTTATTAATTTAATGATGATTTTAATGGTCTACCTTCCTGTTTGTGTGTCATTTACAACAGAACTTTTTCCTATAATCTAATTTCTCTCTGGTTTCTGATTATTTTCACTAGCTGTGAGCTTTGGAATAGAAATTATTTTCCTTTTCTTTTTCGCAAACCAGCAGAAAGGCGTTTTTAATATATGGTTAGTGGTTTTTTTAAGTTTTATATTAATATTTGATTTCCTTTAAACTTTCTGCAGTAGAGAATAACTGAAACTACTTATATCTGTGCATGGGCACAAGAAAACAGCCGTATTATCTGTACTCTCCAAGATAGTGACAGCAATGTTAGCAACCTACTTGTGCTGACTGTATTTAGGACTCTGTACTTTGATTCTTTCAGACTCCACTTCTGATGGTTTGCACTCTACTGGTAACATTACTTAGAGAAAATTTCTGTAGAGCCAGAGCACTGACAATGAAGGGCTTTTGATTGTCAAAGTCACAGGACTTTCAAGGCCACAGCTCCATTTCAGATGTTGCTCTAGCCTTGTTTACTGTTTTGATTCATTCTCCTGAAGATAAGTGACAGAGCATCAAAACTTATCTTCATCTCCATCAGTGTCTTCCAGAGCAAGAGAGTTGGAAGGCATTTAATGAGCTTAATGAGTTGATTAGTGGAGGGAGGTGTGTGTGATAAGAAAGGAGAGAGCTGTCTGTTGATTTCTGTTTCAGTGAAAAGTGAAGTAGGTACAGCTGTAACTTTGGCCTGCTTTTGATATAGGTCTTTCCAAAGCTGATATTTGGCAAGCATATGATTAAACTTCTCTTTTGTTCGCTCTCTTAAGAAATATTTTCCAAGTTCCCAATCCATTTTTTGCTGTTGGTAATGACACTACCCCTCTTAATTTCATCACTAACGGACTTTACTCTGATCATCTCACTGGGCCATATGTGATTACTGAAAACAAACAGCTTTATGTATTTTAATTTATCCCTTGCAATCCCAGATCTATGCGCTTAATTGTTTTTCTCCTTGGAAGCACCAATATCTTTAGGGTGTCCTGTTTGAATTCAGTCTCGCAGTTTTAATTTTTGCTTGTCAGAGTAGAGTGGTTGCACAGTGGGACATACTGAGGCCAGCTTTGTGGGCACTTTTTTCCATACACTTCTCCAGTGTAAGATCAGATCATATTGTCATCTTAGCTAGTGGCTTTTGTGGGTTTTTTTGTGATTGTAGAAAGTGGAGGGTTTAGAGAACAGGTCATGTTATGTACTTCTGTTTTTCAAGTATTATTTGTTATGAGAAGATGTCTTATTGTTAAACAATAAAGCATTTACAAATTAATACTGTCCCTTCCTCTGTTAAGTCTTAGAAGTAATTCTCATTGAATGTGAACTAATGAGTCTTTTGCTTCCCATTGCCTTAGACAACTTGGAGGCTTCCAGTGCTCTTTGTGGTTTAGTGGCATTCAAATCTGAACAGGAGCGTATGAAACTTAAGCTGATGTGTATAAGATTAACTTTTGGGATGGTTTTGTGGTTTGGGATCTAGCATAAAAAGAAACAATAAGCTCAAACACCCACCTAGTGTCCCATATTTGCGTTTAGTAGGCAACTGCTTTGATGTGCCTCCTATGTGTACATGTGGTTTCTTTCAGGGCATTGAAACTTTTTGTTTTGAGATCCCTTTCCTGCTGCCCCTCGCTTCCTCAGTAGGTGGATAACAAAGAGAAATAAGCATCGCTTTTTCTGACAGAAATGTGTGATGTAATAACACTCTGTATTTATACCAGGCTTTTTTGCTTCTTAACTGGCCAGTAGAAAGAGCTCAGGCCAGTGAGTTCATGACACTGTCTATCAGGACCGACGTATGAAAGGGAGAGAAGAAATTCTGAGGGCATTCAGGGTTCCTGTTGTCTTGTGGGATCGACTGGGAACTTTGTTGTTACCAAGCGTCAGTGGAATCCAAAGGGAAATGGCCCCCGTGCAGTCTAATGAAAACCTTTGTTTTCCATAAAATATAAATATTATACTTCTGACAAGTATGTGGAGAAAGTATTAGGAAAGAATTCCCTAAAATAAGATGAGTGGCATCTTATTTTCAGCAAATCTTGGGTATATCTCTTTTGCAAAAGTAATCCCTCCTAAAATAGGAAAATCAAAATCACTGCTCACTTCTGAAGATCATCACCTGCAATATTGTAATGGTACTGGGAAACTATGAGATTTTTTTACTGTCTTTTGCTTTATTTATAGGATAATACCAACCTTTTTGAGACTTACGATGTTGAACTTATAAAAAATAATGGGCAAAGCCTGGGGATAACAATTGTTGGATATGCTGGCACGTGTGATATAGGTGAGTTCTACAGGATTTAGTAAAGTCTAGGACAGGGACTTCTCAAATACCCCTTATTTACTATGAGGAAAAAGGATAGCACTTCTTTGAAACAGTGTAGCCTACAATATCTGTGAAGAAGATATTTGGAGAACTTGCTGCAGAGTGAAATTCAACCACAAAAAAGTTTAAAGAGTTGTAATTACCTTAAAAAAGTAATTCCAACTTGACTGCTGGACTGTGAATTTTACATGCTTATGTTGTTACTGTGCAGACGTTAGACTGTAACAGACAGTTCCTGCATATACAGACTAATACAGTCAGGTTCTTGTCTGCACTGTTCCTTATTTTACCCCTGCATTACATATATGACACAATTCATTTAGCACATTTTAAGAAGAATTTCAAAACCAGACTATCGAATGTCCTCAGTTTGCATTAACTTTTGAATGGCATCTTTGGTATGTACAAAATAGCTCAACGTGCAGCTTTGGTTTATTGAATGACTTGTAGGTGTGAGAGTGGAGATGATCAGTCAGATTAACTAGTGTATCCCTCTGCCAGGCCAGAGGTGCAGAGGATCTCAGCTGTGTGTGATGTCTATGCCACCTTCTGAAGACGATGTACTTGTCTTCGGCAGATGCCTGTTTCAGTGTCTAAACTCTGGGAGCAGATTAAAATATCTGTGCTAGGATATGGGGACATGGAATCAATCCTCTTTAAATTAGAGCTGTTAACTCGTCTTTCAAGTATTGGTTCTACAAATCTTTAGAAATTGACTCAACTGAATATCTGGTTTTACACAAAGGGGTAGTGCTTTTTATCCCCTCCCCTTGCTTGTGGGACTCAAGAAAGCATTCTGGGAATGTGGTGGAGCTGGGGGTGCTCTCCGGCCCCCTTCATTCCCAGGACATCCTCTCGTGTTGCCGGTCCGTGCAGCGCGCACTGGGAACTGGGCTGGGGAGGAGCACGTGCCAGGCAATGGGAAAAGGTGGGTCTGAAGCACTGGTAAAGGGGTTTTGCTGAGCACGGCCAAACTATGTTGGGCAGGTGTCTGAGGAAAGTTAGTGTTCAGAAAAGGATCGATGAAGTGTCAAGATTCACTAGAATTCAAGATCAGCATCTCATATTTTGCGGGAGTTTGTGGAAGGGAAGAGTTACTGTTTCAGCTGAAGATTGGTTTTTTACTGTTTTTTGTTTTGTTTTTATTTCCTTGTTCTAATTAGAAGTTAGAATTAGTAATCAAATGTCAAACGTGACAAAGGACAGCTTTTCTGATTTCCATGTTTCCATTTTTTTTTCTTAAAGAAAAAGTCATTTTTCATTAAGATTTAAAGTACTAAATTCTTTAGCTGTAAGAAGATGATTGAAGTCCTGATCAAAGTACTTAAGCACATACTTTACTTTTAGCTTAGGTAGTCCTATTGAAATCAAATGCAGCGTGGATTTAAGTGATTGTGGTTTAAAGCCTGGGTAAGCACAAGGATGAATCCGTGGAGGAAGTGGCCTTTTGTGAGCCATTTTAAAGAAAAAATTTTGAGGTCAGTGTACAGGTGGTTGTGTCGGGGCTGTTTTTTCCATCAGAGATCCTCAGTCGTTCTACATCAGGCTGTGTGAGTGGTAACGTGCAAATGGTGGCTTACAGAATTATAACTTTGTGGACAGTAGTAGTGTGTGAAAAAGGCTGTAATTAAATAAGAAACAAATTAGATGAGCAGAGTGATTTGTTTCTCTTCTTCCCCTCCCCCTGCCAACAGAACCTTCAGGGATTTTCGTGAAAAATGTAATACCTGGTAGTGCTGCTGACCATAATGGCCAAATTCACGTTCATGACAAAATTGTTGCTGTAAGTAAAATAGTCTGCTTATATACTGTTGTAGAAATAATACTTTATTATAGATCTCAGCATTAAAAGAAAAATGTAGTAAAGACTTTCTAAAATTAATTAAATCTCTGCTTTGCAGAGGAAACAATTTGATGGTTTGTATTTGTTTAGGTAGATTTGTAACAGAAATTAGTTTTAACTTGCTGTGGTTAAAATATTATTTTATATGCAAAGTAGTAGTAAATAGTAGTTAACTATGAAAGAGGCAAGCTTTTGGATTAAAATGTTTCAGAGTGGAGAATCTTGGCTTTTGGCCCAAAGTAAAGATGAGCAGCATTAGCTTCTATTTGAATTGAATGGGATTTGAGGATGGTTAAGATTTTGCAAGATGTGGCACACTGTTTATGGTCCTTAATGACTGTGTAGCACAGTGTGGATACAATCAAATGTTAATAGTCACAATTTAGGTTTAAAAACTCAAAGCTTTATGTGTAGAAAAATTAAACCCCATTGAATAACAGTGAATTGAATAATAGCCAATTTTGCATTCAAAGTAC